CGAGGCAACCGAAGACTCCGGAGGCGCTTCCTACTACATCCGGCAGGGCGACGTCAACGACACGTCGACCATGCCTCTCAGCAACGTTCGTTCATTCGAGATGAACAGCGCATACTTCCACCAATCGGACTCCCAGAGAGTCTTCTGCTTCTCATTGTCCGTCAAGATGTCCATCGGCGATGGCGGCGATGGCGATACTCTCACCAACATCACCGAGGACACCTGCCTCTTTGAATGCACCGACTCGGAGAGCCACGAGCGCCTCCCCCTCTTCACCATGGGCCTCCTCGGCAGTGGGTTACGCGCCGGCCTGACCCATACTATCCCATTCAACCACCATACGGCATTCGTTGGCAAGGACACCAGGGTCAAGGACGTCAAGGCCACTATGAGGAAACGATTCCTGCCGATGCGGTGCGTCACTGTAGGACACTCGATGGATGGATGGGTGGGTGGGTGGGTGGGTGGGTGGACGGATGTGGTGTGGTAACGTGATGGTGTTCAGGTGCCTCGTCCTGCACTGCTTGCGAATGATGATCATGGAGCAGCAGTGGGATGCCATCCAGGACATAGGCGCCGCAATCCGCAACGAGGTAAGCATCACGATGTAGGTGGGCAGAATGGAGCATGAATGAAGTGGCTGTCTGATGATGCAGGTGTCAGAGTATATCGCATGCTATTTGGCGCACATCAGGGCGCCAGGCGTGTCGCCTTTGCGGGTGTTGACCGCATGGCTGGGCTGGCGGGGCAGCGACCAGTCACTGGACGAGTGGACATATAAGGAGATCGCTGAGCCGCTGCTGACGCCCGACATCCTCTCAACTCACAAGACCGACCTCGGCGGCTTCCTGCGGGTGATGGTGCGGCTCGGCGACCGCAAAATCCTTCTGACACAGCTGTCCCAGGCCATACGAGGAGATGACGAGCAATCGGTTGTTCTTGATGCACTGTTGAGCTCGATAGTAGATGAGGGGGGCGGGGAGAGGGAGGGCAGAGAGGGGAGCGGGCGGCCGGCAAAGAGGCGCCGCTTTGATCTGTGAAGCAGCAAAGACAGTAGATAGGCAGACTTGTTCGTGCGTCGCGTGTGTTTACGTATTCGGTGTACCCGAACCGAGCCAAGATTCCGGTGCTTCAGACCATGCTTGCCGCCCTTGTGCTAGCAGTGGCCCTTGGAGCGGTTGAAGGGGTCTCCTACAGCGGATTGGCATGCCACAACCCGATGTAAGGCAGATGGATGCATCAAAATCTCAACCATCCATCCATCCATGCCTATGGTTTCCTGCATGCAGCTTCAAGGGTCTCTGGCATGTGCACTCGAACGCCAGCCTACTCGCCGCACCCACTGCCGCCAGCCTACTCCCCGTCTGCTCGCAGTGGCAGAACCAGGACACCTGCTGCCACGATTCGCCCGCCCTCTCCTCCCTTATCATCTCTCACCTCAAGCACTGGGGCCGCACATTCGCTGCCGACATGACCGCATTCAAGCGCCAGAGTGCCCTGTTCCACGACATGATGAATGCGCCGATGGGGCTGTCGGCATCGCAGCGAGAGGCGCTGGTGGAGCTGCTGGCTAACATGGACGAACTCTTCGATAGGAGGCTGTTTGAAGTAACTCATTGGGAGGGGCAAATTTGGTCACGACAAGAAGCGTCTTTCCTCCCTCCTCTCTGGTGCAGCCGTGCTATCGTGTGATGCTTGAGTATGCCGCCGGAGCGCTGTGTTTCGCCTGCGACCCAGAGTGGCCCGCGAAGACCTTCTACAAACAAAAGAGTGAGGCGAAGAAAGCGATAGAATGCCTTTATTGGCCTCTTTGCTGTTCAGGTTTTGGTGTGGTGGATGTGTCGGTTGCGGAGGGCACTTGCACGGCTCTCTGGTCGAAGTGCAAAACGTTCGCTAAGGTGGAATGGCACAGAGACGCAATATGCGATCGGGCCACAGTGTGTGTGTGTGTGTGTGTCCCAGAAAGCCTGGTCGTTCCACCTCCGCTTGCTCGAGGACCCGGTGGCGACGTCTCTCACCGACGCTTTGCCATTCTTCGCCCACCTACGAGACCAGCCATCGCTCTGCAACCACCTCAAACATCGAGTAACGACCTATCCGCACTCGAGCATGCATGCCATATTGGCTGCCTCTCCCCCATTCGCAGGTGGCCTTCCACCCTCTGGGTCTGTCTTCTCTCCCCTCTCCCCCGTTCCACAACTACCCCGACAACGCCATCGTCCCCGACACTGTGGAGGTCACCCCTGTGCCGCTCCCACCTCAGGGCAACCAGACTTCCCCCTCACTCAAACAGTACCACCTGACCCCAAAACCAGTGGCGGCCGGGGAGCTGTTTGTGGTGCTGCTCAAGGGCTCGGGGCTGGGGAGAGGGCGAGAGAAGGCCGCCAAGCAGCTGCGGATCGCCATTGTGAGGGAGGGCGATGAGTGTGGGCGCAGAGCCTCGGTAGCGGGTAAGAGAGAGACATGTGAAGAGGGGCAAAAAGGACGGGTCACCTTGGTTGTTGGTGTCAGATGGTCTTGGTGTCAAGAGGTTTGCCAGGACGCCGTGCGAGGTGTACAATGAGGACACCATCGTGTGTGGGGACATGCGCCACAGCTACAACATTACGGCTGCCGGCACGTACAAAGTCTGTCTCTGCGACGGACACCTCAAGTCATCCTGTCAAGGTAGGATGAGCCTCCATCTAACCGTCCACCTCTCTGACCTGACATCCCTCCCCTCCCCTCTGTGTGTGCGCTTTCTGCAGGTGATATCGCCAGCTATGACACACCCCCTCTGCTGACGTCGGTTTTCACCATCGGCGAGAGCAGCAAAGGGCGGAGGGAGCTGGGGTGGTGGTGGTGGTGGGGAGGGAAGGAAAAGGAGAAAATCGTGGCTGCCTCTGAGACGGTGGACTTCGTGGCCAGCGGGCGGGCGAATGGGTATGAGGTGAAGAGGGTGATCGACACACTCTGTGATGACTTGTATGCTTCTGGGTCGGAGGGCGACTATCTTTATCAGTGAAATGTCTCATTAGCTTTCATTCATTCGCTCTGCAAGTGATCGAGAAAATGCCACTCATTCAATTCATCTCGGTGCATGCAGCCCAGCTGTGTCATCTCATCTATCCATCCATCAAAATGTGAACACACATATCGAGTCGAGAAGGTTGTGTATGCCTGTTGGTATGTCCCGCCCAGCTACCGATTGAGCCAGCTGGCCACGCATCATCGATCCGATCGGTGGATCCGTAACAAAACGACACACCCACTCACTCACCCACTCACCCACCCACCCACCCACCCACCACCCACCAGCCTCCCTCCC